CCCAGAGTGCCCCTACCACCATCACCACTCACCCACCCACCCACCGGCTCACCGCACTCCTCAACCCTGCATCCCCTCTCCCCGATTCATCCCATCCACCCCCCCTCCACATCCAGCCTCTCTTCTACACTCAGGTTTCACCTCTCAGCTTCCTGCTGCTCCCAGTCACGCTGACACACACTCTTACACTCAACCTATTCACTGTAGCCGGAGCAGCAGTAGAAAAGTCCTTTTCATTAATAGAGCAGAAGTAGCAAACCTTTATTAAGAAGTCTTCCACTATAGATAAAGGCTCATGATGAAATGACACTTTCAGTAAGAAAAAGCAGAGACTGGCAGCAAAATATATTTAAAATATATATTTTTTAAAATCACTTAAATTCGAAGTTTATTCTATCATATTTTTATAGTTATGAATGAATGAACAAACAGTTTTTGTTACAGCTGCTGGAGGATGAGATTGTTTTAATGGCTATATGGCCTTTTTATTTAATATTATCCATCATATTTTCAAAGATGATCATGCATCTAGGAGTTAAATCATTTCAGCGTGATTTTTCTGGAGTTTTTCAAAGATACTTCAGAATCTTACAGTAAAACCCTTAAATTTGTGTGTGTGAGTGTTGCACGTGTACTATGACTCAACAGTAAGAATTTTGATAGATAGATAGATAGATAGATAGATAGATAGATAGATAGATAGATAGATAGATAGATAGATAGATAGATAGATAGATGAATTTCATTGGAAGTAAAAGTACTTGCGGTTATTTAAACCTCCACGGGATAGACACTAATTCTGTCTCTGTCTCTCTCTGGCTCTGTGCTTCGGTGGCAGGATTACTTTCTGTCAGCAGTGTGACAGCTGTGTACATCTGGTTGCGTAGGGGCCTCTTACATCTCAATCCACACGTCGTTTCGCCGGTGTCTGGGCCTCCGGATTCACTGCCACTGCTCACCTCATTACCAACTGAGCCACACCTCCATCTGTCCGTCTAATATCTAAATCCCACTGCAGATTAGTGGGGGAGTCGGGGCCCGGAGGAGGAGGAAGGGGGTCGAGGGGGAGAAGGCAACTAAGATCCTGGCGGAAGAGTTTGTGCATGGCGCATGAAGTTATATTAATGATCCCCATGGCTATGTGGTGGCGGTGGTGATGGTGGTGGTGTTCGGGTGGAGGGTAAAGCGGCTGCATTTTGGGTTTGCGGATTGTGGCAGCATGTGGGGGGCTTGTGGCTACTGTCGTTTGTGCACACGAGTGTTGAAGGACAAACAGAGAAAGAGAGAAACTGAGAGAAATGCCATCATATAAAATCTAGAAAAGACTTATTTCTAAAGTTTCTGGTCTTCACATAGTGAAGGTCAGCTGCATGACAGCTTTCTTTTCAATGCCTGTCTTTGTGCATATGTATCGCCTGTGTAGACAAAGTCTAATTTATCCTTTTCCTCTGCGCCACAGAGTCACACTGATGGTTAAATACTGGACTGGATCTCACGTTCCCTGTTGAATTATCACTATCGAATGCTATTACTCTGGTATTAATGGCTTTAATATAGAGCACCAAATGTGGAATAATAGTGCTCCCTCATACTCTAGTGACATTTTCTAAAAATAAAGTTTTGCTTTTGCTTTTTTTTTTTTTAAAGAAATACTTTTAGGTTTTTTTTTTTTAAAGTTTTTTTAAGCTTGGAAACAATTGAGTGTCAGTCTGAGAACTATATTACAGTATAAAAAACCATGCCAGAATTACCCTTTAATCCTATTTTACCATGCATTACAATTAAAAACATATATAAAAACATTAAAAGAAAGCTTGTGGTAGGCCTGCTGAACTAGTTCAAATCAGCACTAGACGTTAATTGCACCCCCCAAGATAATTCAGAGGTGTTCTTTTTTTTAAAAAAAAAATTATTTGTTAGTTTTTACTATCTATTATATATTTAATAATAGTGGAGAAGGATATGTTTGTAATATTAATATTACTCTAGACAAATTAGGCATCATAGCTGATGAAATTACCTTAATCATTCTAAAGTAGATTTTTACAGAGAAGGAAGAGCCACCACGGAATTACAAACTATTTCAAACATAAAAGTGACTCACTTAAAAATAAAATAATAACAATATCTTGGAAACTTATACTGAAAAAGATCTTGGTTTGAATTTCCAAGCCAAGCACTTCCGCTAATGATTACTCATTATCACTTCTTTTTAAAAAATATTTTCTTTTCATTTTTCCGGTTGACCAATAGACACTGCTTATTTTTAAGTCAAGGCTGGAGTGTCTATACAGCGCTGATAACATGTGGTTCGATTTTTTTTGTGTGTGTCAGCAACTGACTCACTTGCCCTTAATTGCCCTCTCAGACTCGAGAGGGCAAGTGACTAAAATGCTCCACCGTTCAAGGGCATTTTCAACCGCATTAAGCAAAACTTTCATCCTTTTTACTCGCAACACTTTTCCACACTTTTCCACACTGTCTCAGTTAATCTGAAGTCAGAAAAAAAGTGTAAAACACCACTGTACAGTTTTTGTTCGTTCCTAATATTGTAAATATTTGAAATTGAAATGCATTTTCTTGAAGCTATAAAGTCATCGACAACTTTTTTTTGTTTAAACATATTACACTATTTTTTTCCACTGTTAAAGTCTGTTAAAATAACAGAATTTCTTAAAACTTTTATATTCTTTAAAAAAATGTTTCAAAAAGTGGGAAAGAGAAAAAAACACAGTCTTGACCGTCTAGCGTTTTATAGCTACACTTAATTCTTTTAGTCCCACACTGCACAAACTTGGTGTTAAATAGGACAAAGTTCAAAACAACCAATGGGTATTTTTTGGAGACAGACCTATCTTTACATAGAAAAAATGTAGCATATGTTTTTCGCTGGAAGAATAGTGTGTAATTTATCATCCAGACAGATTATCCAGTTATCAGACAATTCAAGAACACGCTGTAATGGCAAGTTAGGAATGTGTGTGGGCTACCCAAAGTTAAGCCGCACAAGAGGAACAAACAAATAAGAAAAAAAGGTCTTTGAAAATCTGATACAATGGTACGACATTTTTGAAAATGAATTATTTTCCAGTGCCCACACTAAGGTCACAATTGAACGCTTTACTAGTGAGGCTAACCGCATGTGGCAGCACAGTGCCACCTGGTGGATATTTTCACTGAGATTATCTTTTAATGGAATTAACTTTTTTAATATTCTACAATGAAGTTTTGTTGTAGACAAGTTCAAGATATCAATACATTACCAAAAAAACGAAGTACCCAAAAACAACAAATTAAAAAAAGCTTTTTGTTAAAACAGCCACAGTTTAACACTCGAAAGAAAAAATAGTTTTAAATTGGCCCCCACACACGGACCAGTACCTCCTGTTTGACTCCCATCACCCTCTGGAACACAAACTTGGAGTAATTAGGACCCTACACCACCGGGCAGAACATGTTCCCTCTAAGCCTGAAGGGAAAAAGAAGGAACACACACATGTAAAGGAAGCACTCAAAA